AGGAAGGAAGGAAGGAAGGAAGGAAGGAAGGAAGGAAGGAAGAAGTGGGGCGGCATTACGGAGGTATTTTGATAATAAAGGACAACAAGAAAGAAATACAGAAAATCTGCTTCCCAGAACTAGAGAGGTCATGGCACGATTCACCAGAGCATGTGCAACAGATTTTAAAACGAATGTACATGTCAGCAAGATGTCAAAGAATGCTTTCTCTTTCTCCCCAAACCTACTGACTCCTGTTATATAAGTTAAAGGCATTCAGGTAAGGCTGGAGCATGGCACCATGAAACAAAGACTGTTTTTTAAGCCCCTTACAATTAAAGTTGCTTGCCCCTGAATGGCCCAGAGTAACAACACAAAAGCTACATATGGAGCTTGATTTAAATACAGAGAGAGAGGGGGGAGAGGGAGGGAGAGAGGGAGAGGGAGAGAGAGAGAGAGAGAGAGCAAACATGTGCATTTCAGCATAGCAGATATTTGGTCCAGAATCATTGTTCTTCTTTAAGAAAAATAGGAGAAACTTTTTAAAAGTAATATTCTCTCCAAAATTAATGTTCTCATGCTATTCACCGTAAATTCAGTAATCAATGATAACCAATTTGTTATTTATATATGTGAACATTATAAACAAATACAGCGGGTTTTCACTTACAACCTTAGCCTTTCAGAAAATTTGGGGCTCTAATAGGCCCTTGGAAAAAGACTTCAAATGTTCCATGAAAAGCAATTACGATATATTCAAAGACATGGTACCTGCAACAGGGCAGCTGCCATTTTTAATTGAATAAGGCCAAGGATAGTGACTTATTTACATGTAGTGATGAGACCTAAGGATTTTTCACAAGTACCACTAAGCATATTTATCAGCCTGGAAGGCACACATCTGAATGTCAATGAATAAGCTGAAAATGCAAAAAAGCCTGATTCAATTCAGCAATGTAGCTTTTCATTCAGTTTAGATGCAGAAAATGCAAAGGAATAATTAGGTATCACTTGTAGAAATGATCACAGATTCATGGCACCTACTGTATAGCTATTCCCCTAGAAAGGAGCTGTTCACATATAATAAGAGAAGACATGTGTCAGCCTGTCAGAGCCATAAATCCAAGACACCTTGATACCTAAGATACAATATGCATGTTAACAGAGTTGTGGGGGTTATTTACATCTAGGGATTATTTCGTTTCTAAATTGCACTGATTAATTCAGCTTACCGGTAATTTAAATGCATCCATGAGTTTGAAGCTTAATCTACAAAGTAGCACAGGTCCTTAAAAGGCATATAGTTTTGCAAGCAATGCAGCTGGTAGCAAGGAACGAGTAATCTAAATCAGAGGTCCCCAACCCCCGGTCCATGGCCCGGTGCTGGTCCGTGGCCTGAGCCAGACTGGCACGCCAAGACAGACCTCCCGCCCCACCCCCAGCATGCACTCGCCCCTGCACAGCCCTTTTGCACCTGCGCAAAGCGTGCCCAGACAAGTGCTGCACTGCCATTTGCACATGCGTATGCACGCGGGCATGTTTCTTCACGCATGCGCACGAGCACGGGAGGTGCCCCCACCTTTCCCAGGCGGTCTGCGGACCGAAAAAGGTTGGGGACCACTGATAAATAACAGAGTTACAGGACTGCTACCTGCCCCATCCACTCTGTTGTCGGACAGTTCCACAATCACTGGCATGCAATAGGAAGCTGGAGGGGTTCACCATCCTGGCATCTGTGATTTCACTCAGAGGGTAGTGGCAAGAAGACACAAAGTGCCCAGCTCTGGCAACTCTGTACTCTGAAGGCTAGCAAGTCTTCTTATAGTTCTAATTCTCTTACTGATAAATATAACTACTGCAGCCCAATGGAATGTTTGTGTGTAAACGCGCGCGCGCGCACACACACACATATGTATGTATGTATGTATGTATGTATGTATGTATGTATGTATGTATGTATGTATGTATGTATACACATACACACACACACACACACACACATTACCCTATATACCCTATATACCCTATATTTTGATACATATTTATATCTTAGGTTTCACTCTTTAACTTTTTCCCATCCGTCTCAGACCCTGATTCCACTCTAGCAACCTTGAATCTGAAGTTCCACCTGCCCCATAGCTCTTTCTGCCTCCAAATTAAACTTAAACTAAATTGCTCTCCCTCTCATATACTCCCTCCTTGTTGATCAAACAGGATCTCGACAGGCAGGCAGCATATACCAACCAAATCACCACATTGTTCCACATAATTCTATTCACACAATTCTTACCCCTAAAACTGTTTTAACCAGAATCTCCTGGCACACATCCAACTTAACCAATGGCTATCAGAACCCAGTCCCTCAATATGCACACCAACACACACCTATACATATGACACAATGTGAAATCAACACTAGACCCACCAGTTCACCCACTGTCTCAGAAAAAGACCTTGGCCTTGTTTCTACAAGCTGGTAACACATCAAACCTACCAAAGTACTGGACAATGCAATCTTCAGTACAATAAAAGCATTTATAGTCACTGAATTAAGCTTACTATATATCTGCATGAACAGCAGATGAATAGGTTTGCTTCTTTAGAGATGCTCTCTGAAACTTCAGGAACAGTGCACAAAATACAACATTTTATCTCTATAGTAATGGATACTGCTTTTTTCATTTTCCACGCATGGAATAAGGTTTGTTTTCTTCACTACAAAACTGTAAAGTATAACTACAATATCTGGAACGTTAAAACTGAAAGGAATTAAAACTGAAAGTCATATAGCATCTTTTTGACTTATTTTGTTCACAATTTATTACAACATAAGACTGGACACAAAAGCCGCCCAGAGACCTTTGGGTAGTGTGGGCGGCATATAAGTTAAATAAATAAATAAACAAATAAATAAAAGCTCATTTCCACAGATACTTGGAGCAAAGTTTGGGAGTTCCAGATATATATTCACTGTATATAAGGTTGGAGGCAGGATTTAGATGGTGGAATGAGAACCAATTTAAATGCAGAATTATTAGCAATAATGATTATGTTCAGAAAAACATTCTGGCACGAGGCCGTATGATGAGAATCTATTAACCAATGCTGGGATTACCTTATATAGCAGTTCTCGCCCTCTTTCCAGTTGTAAAACAATTAAAATGTTTTGAATGGCTATATTTTCTAGTTGAACCCCCACTCCCAATCTACAAAACCAGAGAAGGGAACATTGATCACAACACACAAGAGTTTTTTCCTACCTTAGGAGCTCGAGCGTGTTTTCCACATCGTGCATCTTTGACAAGGCTGATATCTAACAGCTCTGATTCCTGTACCTGACATGAGAGCAGAGAGAGGGGAAAATATGTTTTACTGCACTTGATAAATCATTTTATTAAACAGATTACACAGAATTCTTGTTTATGAAATTATTTGCAACCCTGCTTTTATTCAGGCTTTTAATGGCTTTAACCAAACTGTAGCTCAGGAATGGGGAATGTGTGCCACCATATTAGATGCTACTAGAATGGAACTCCCACCATCCCCAGCGAGCATAGCTAACAGTAAGGGACAACAAGATGTGTAATCCAGCAACATCATTTGGAGACCAGACATTCCTCATTTTTTGTCCTAGAGTACACAGTCAAATAGCTAGCCAGAAAGACAACTCCAGACTCAGGAAACAGAAGTAATTCTGGCAGGAGAAAAACCATAGGCTACTTCAAACTTCCACTTCTTCCAAGGGGAGAATCCTAAAATATAATTGGCCCCCATGAGTCCCCTTGACTACATCCAAAGAAATGACTACTGACCCTCAGCATGCCAAATCTCCAGCATTATCTACTAGGATCACATGGCAACATTCTGTCCCTGTTTGTGATGACGATACCCAAGTAACAGAAGCCACAAGACTAGTCTCTGATACAACCCATTTCTTTAAGATATGAGATTCGCTGTTCTCTGGGGCCAAGATCTCCCTGAGGTGTTATAACCCTTCTGAAAATGTAAATTACTAGTATATTAAATTAGTTCTAAAAGCAACTCTCAAATACGGCATATCAATTGCCATTTTTTTCAAATGTAATGGTACTCTCTTAAGGGGAAGTACACATTCGGGGGTGGGGAAGAGGTCTTATGCACCTACATGAATTTATCATTAGTTCAGTCAATTCTCCAAAGATCAGAGATGTTTAAATCTAATGTGTTGTGGTATACTGTAACAATCCAGCACTGGCAATGTTTATGAAATTGAGCATCTCTTTATGCTAATACAGATAATTAGTACAGCTCATTTGCTCTAAATCCAAATCAGATACACAGGAGAGACGCAGTAGTCAGTGCCAAGTTCTATTAAATTTGCTTGCCTGAGTCTCAGGAAGCAGCATTCGAACTCATTGAAAACCAGGATGTAAAAGCTTCTGTGCCAAGCAAGATGCATCCTCTTCCACCCTCACCCATCTCCCTCCCCACTTACTTCCTCCCTTCAAACCAGAAGGAACAGGTAAGCTGTCTCTCTCTCCAGTTCTGATAAGGCTTGCCAGCCAATGTCAGGATTCTTCTGCTAATGTAGAGAGAACTTGGGAGCATTCGTTGTTTTGGTTCATGACCCACCTCACCCCGAATCCTGCAATCATCATAGCCCTGCTGTCTACAGTATTTGGGGAGTTGTAGTGCAAAAGGTGACATATTCACACTCTGGTTTAGGCCTAGAAGTTACTGCACTGGTAATGTGTATCTGTACCACTTCAGAGTATAGGTGGAAACACACATGATTGAATATTCTTCCATGTAAAAACATTCCCTTTGATAACCAGCATATCAAAGGATGGTAGCAGCATCTGAAATGCTAATTTTCTTATGCGCAGGGTATGTTTTTCAGTAAGAGGTACTCAACAACGTAAGAGAACAGCAAAATGATAAGCACACTATCTTTCTTTTCTCCCTGGCCATGCACACTAGGCAATTCTCTGTATTATTCACAGTGAGCCCAGTAGGACAGGTTTTACACTTTACATGGGGAGGATATAGGAAAGGATCATAATGCAGTGAGGCAGCACATGCTTTGCATGCAAACTGTTACAGGATCAATGCCAGCAGTTCCATTTAAGAATGCACGGAGGCCTCTGATTGCCCATGCCAGTGAGAAGAGACAACACAGAAGAATCAATCATCTGACTTAGTCCATATGTGTGGACTCAGTGCGTTGAATTAAATTGATCAACCCAAAATTATCACTCCTCCAACAATCCCCCCCCCAAATTCTCCCATAGAATCTTGAACCACAAGCAATGACCATCTTGAAAGTTTCATTTCTCAGATTGCCAAATGACTAAAGTGAAGGAACCAGGAATTGTAGACATGAACAAAACAATCATAGCCATCATGCTGAGCCTATATGCATGAAGCTGCACTATACTAAGCCACAGTACCAACCTTTCTGGCCAGGTGGTAAACCAAGATGATAAACCTATATCACAGCTATATTGTTTCAAGTGAAGTCTCGTGTGGCCTGCACGCAGAGGGCAAAATGGCATGTCAAGAAGAATATTAGGTTTAATTTCCTCTGTCCTGCTTGCTTCCTACACACATGAACCCTTGGGCACTTGGCAAAATGGCATGTCAAGAAGAATATTAGATTTAATTTCCTCTGTCCTGCTTGCTACACACATGAACCCTTGGGCACTTCATATTTGCTTGTTTGAAAATGCAACATGATATGATCCCAGGAGCTTGCAAAGAACCTAAGCATGTATGAATTGGGCCCAAAGTTGCTGCCCTTCAAACAATGCTCCTTCTCCCTTAACACAGTGGTCCCCAACCTTGGGCCCCCAGATGTTCTTGGACTTCAGTTCCCAGAAATCCTGGCTAGCAGAGGTGGTGGTGAAGGCTTCTGGGAGTTGTAGTCCAAGAACATCTGGAGACCCAAGGTTGGGGACCACTGTGAGAATGCCTTCTCTTCCCATCACCGGATGTGGCTGCCTATGAAAAGCCATGTTATACCGTTTCTTGTAATACAAACTGAGTGGCTATTATCACCTTTCACTCGCTCCTCCTTTAATTTCATACCATAGACAGAATGAAAATGAGAGAAAAAGAGAGAAAAGGAGAGAAAAAGAGAGAGAGAGAGAGCACAAGAGAGGGGTTGAACAATCAGTATCATATGATTAAACAACATTAAACCATTAGTTACACATTTATTGAATACCAAATTCTATTGAAATTTTATCACCTCATCAATATTACATGCTCTAATGTATAAGAAAAGTTATGGGAACAGAAAAGGGTGATGGCATTTCTTAACCATTGCCATCAAATTCCTGACTTTTTTCTTCAGACTCATACAATGGCAGCAATGCCCTGCCTTCCACTCTCGCTCTCTGCTGACTAGGAAGTTGGGGTGACAGTAATGAGCTAAAAATCAAATTCAATACTGTCAACTGTAATTGACAGCTAATCATGCCCTGATCACATGCAGATTAAGTTAGGAGGATTTCAAATGTATACAAGTCAACTATAACAGCAATAAATAAAATACCTCGGCTGAAGAATATTCTAAACTGAATATCTGTTGCCCACACACTTACTCACATAATTATACATGCAACAGAATCTCCTTCTTTTTTGCTTCCTACTCCTCCATTGTTCCCTTTCCTGCTTTCTCTTTCTCCCCTGTGTTTTGCCATGTATTTTCTTTAGCTCCTTGGGCAAGTTGGGTGGATGAGTGCTGTGTATAATGCGTACATTTTTTTAAAGTAGTGTTTTGTTTTTTTTCAACAAAGAAGTTTCTGAAACTATCACTTTATATATGATAGACTTTGGAAAAGTTTTGTACTACAACTTGTATTAATCCCTTTGCCGTGCTGTCATCCAAAAGGGGAAAAAAAGGAACTTTACCATACTTCAGTTTATAATATGTTAGCATCTGACCAGTGTCATCAACAGGGCCTTGGCCACACAGTGCAATTTCGGGGAAAAGCAAAATAGCTTGAAATGGCTGTTACAACAGGAGTATACTAAAGCCTTGACTTGGACCCTGTATATTTCAAGGAGCGTCTCTCCCTATATAAACCTGCCCACTCACAAGGAGCATCTCTCCCTATATAAACCTGCCCACTCATTGGGATCTGTTGGTCCCACCACTGAGAACAGTTTAGTATGTGGAGACCCAAGGGAGGGTTTTTTCTGCAGTAGCACACCAACTATAGAATGCCCCCCCGAGACTTGATTGCCATCAACATTGGTATAATTTCAGTGCCAAGTCAAGATGTACTTATTTATAAGAACCTTTGGAGATTGAGGACCATGGCCTGAATAGTTCTTAGTGCAATGGTTTTAATGTTAGTGTTCAAATTTTGTGCTGTTGGTTTTATATTGTTTTAAATATCCCTATATTTAAAAATTCTTTTATACAGCTTTGTAGCCCACCCTGAGATCCAGTGATATAGGGTGAGCTATAAATGATTAAGTAAACATTTTTTTAAAAAAATAATTTTCTTGTAAAGAACAGCTTAAGTGAGAGGTTCCATTAATCTTAAAGAGCAAAAAGATCCTACATCATTCTCTCTTTTTTTTAAATCCTACTTCTACCGCAATACATGTTCTGTTATATAAAGGAAGAGGTGATGAAACACTGAATTCCAAATGAGGGGTTTAAAAATAAAGTTTCCACTGCACACTGCCAAGCAAACACAAAGTAAGAAAGACCCCCCTCTCAGATGCCCTATAGTTTCAGTGTGCATAAGCCTGACACCCTCGCTGAGTGTTTTTTAAAGAGCCAATTAAAGACTTGGCTCTTTAGGCAGGCCTTCCCTCCTGTCAATACTTGACTTTTACTGTCTATTTAATCTTTCGTTTCATATTTTCCATCTTGATTAATGCTAATATTGTCAATGTAAATCGTTGTTTTAATTGTTTTCATGAATAATTTTATTGTGAGCCGCCCTGAGTAGACATACGTCCAGAAGGATGGGCTAAAAATCTAATTAATTAATTAATTAATTAATTAAGATGCTTACATTTGCCTTCAGTGGCCACAGTCTTAGCAGAATCATGTCTAATGCTCACACAGTTGCACACACTCATTTGAGATCTGTAAATCATAGAGGACTCCATCTACCAAACTTGGAAAAGAGCTCAGCAGTATGACCAGCCCCAGGTTCAATTCAACTCTTGTCATCTTAAATTAAAGGGAACTCAGGTAGTAAGGACTGTGAGACCCTTGTGGCCCAGAAGAGCCACCACCAGTCAGAACAGACTATACCCTGCAAAACGGCACAATTATCTGGTTTAATGTGAGGCAGCCACTGACGTGTCATAGCTCTCTATCAATCAAAGC